GAGCTAGAGAGAGAGAGAGAGAGAGAGAGAGAGAGAGAGAGAGAGAGAGAGAGAGAGAGAGAGAGAGAGAGAGAGAGAGAGAGAGAAAGTTTCATACGGGGTCCAAAAACATTGAAAGCTTTCCTGACAGGGAAGTTCAATTAAAAGACAGAAAAGCATGCCATTCTGAAGCACTTAAAAACTGAATTGTCTCCCTTACTACAGAGATCGCGTTTACTTGAATTTGAATGACTTATTTCCCTTGAGACTTACGGACAGGTGGTTACATTTTCCCATGCAATTAATATCCTGCAAAAGCATCAGTTTGTTTGCTTCAAATAGCGATACATGTATACAAGTCTGAAGTTGGTTATGTAAATTATATTTATTCTACTATAATGATATGGAATATGAAGACATTTTCTAAAAGAATGTGACATTTTGAGAACTTTGGGTGGGAGCTTTAAAAAAGGCCTTTACACTGACCCAGAGCCGTTGTGATAAACAATATGGTGGTTTACAGGGAATGCGGGAGTGAAATACAGAACGGATGTTATGAGTAAACTGTTGGAAAAGTGGTTTGTTGAGACATGTACTTTATTTTAGAAGTATAAAGTGCCACTGACTTTTATTTGAATAATACTTCTTTGAATTGGACTGTTGTTCAATAGCCTGACGAGGAATATGAAATCTTAAAAAACTCATAACCATATCTGACACTGATCAGGTGTCTATAGTAGACAGACATAGATCTAGTATATAGACTCTAGTTAGATCTATTCTAGGTCTAGATCTAGATCTAGATCTAGATCTACATGATCTATTCGTATGCCTATTTTTATTCTCAATTGTAATTTTCTTTATTTAGAACTGACAAGAATGTAACTTGGTTCCAAACTACTTTCAGTTTGTTATGTCAGTCAAAGTTTGTTTGCATTTATGATTTATGTAGACACATTTACCTTAACATTTATAATTTCGGACTTTCTGTAAACTGTGTTTTGAAACTTTATCTCTGATATTCTGATAGAATGAGCTCATAGCTTGAAAATGAAGAAAAATTAACCTCTTAATTCTTTTTAGTTGTAAGTCTTTCTTCTTTCCTTGCTATTTAGCTTGTTCATATTTATTATCTTTAAAAATCAAGTGTGTTCTGTTTTCTAATTTTCCCGATAAAGAAAAACGATGCGTATACTTACCTAGCATCTGCGTTTGTTGCCATTTTTTTGTCCAAAAGTTGCCAAAAGTTGCCACAAAAATGGCCAAAGTTGCCATTAATTTTCAAGCTTTCAACTCTTTGTGACGACGTGTATATGATGTTGATAGACGTAACTTAATCTAAAGTACTAGAATTTCTTGTTTTCAGTTTTAAGCATCCAGAATATCATTTGTAGCCGCACAGAGTGTAAAATCATGAAAAAGAAAGGTTTCACAACAGAATGAAATCAAAATTAGAACAGCGCATAAACAACCACAAAAATTAACAAATAAGGGCGTAGTGTGTCCACCTATCTGAAGATTGGCTGTTTCAACTCTAAACGTGTGTGTTTCAAGAAAAAGTACAGGATATTACATGTATGTAAATTGTGGAGTCACACACAATGCCAGTGTCAGTATTCGGTTTTGGTGAAGACACGTTCTAACATAACACATTTATTATTATTTTTTTTTGGTAAGTGTTATCGCTCGCAACTGCATAAGGTCATATGAGCGCGCGGGACACACCTAATATTTTCAGTTGGTAGGAAATTTTTTAATTTTTCAAGGGTGGCGGCCGAAGCCTACTCTTATCGATTAAAAACCACCAAGGTATCTTTAACGTGCGCAACTTGCACACGAGCCCTCCGAGACTTTTCGCCCTCATCCGAGAAGGCTAGGTGTAGATCTTTTCTACCAGAAGATCAGGGGTGTGGTGGAAAGACAGCAGTAAGAAGGAGCCAAAGAGTAGCAGTACAAAGACTCAGAAAGAGTCAGGAGCCCAGAGAAGGGAGCAAAGGAGGTGAGGGGGAGGGGGCAGAAAGAGGAGACGAATGCAGACGACAGAACATTGCTAGAGAACAGGAAAGGAGATGAAAGGAGACAATTTTAGAGAAGAAAATTTTTCGGTTACTACCCGGATTCGAACCCGGGACCTTTAAATTAGAGGCCTACACCTTAACCTCTAGGCCAAGAGAGCCCCCATAACACTATATATATATATATATATATATATATATATATATATATATATATATATATATTATATATATATATATATAAAAGGTAGGAACAACATCAAATTAAATGATATATTATTACGCTATATAAACAAACAACAGCAACAAAAAAAGTAATAGAAAAACAACAGAACAAAAACAAGAAAAAAATTAACTCACTAACAAATTAAAATAGATCTACAACAAAGAGGGAAAAATAAAAGAGGAACAGCAATACAAATAGAATGTAATGTACTTATTTATATTCTTCACATGAAAATAACAAATCAACGAGATGTAAACAAGTGAGAAAGAAATGAAGTGAAGCTTAAGTGAAAATAAACTTTCTTTCTAAAAGCAAAGAGGTTCGGTTTCTTTAGTTGACTTTTTTTTATTCCCCGGCGGTGTTAATGTTTTGTTTGTTTTGGTTTTTTGTTTGGTTTTGTTTTTTTTGAAAAATGAAAAAATCGCGGCCGCGATTTGCGGACCAAAAAATGCCAAAAATCAAGACCGCGATTTGCGGGGCGCGGCTGCGACAAACGCTGATGCAAGACTTACTTACTTGGGTACTTACTTGGTTGGAGAATATGCATCATTGCAGACGCCATAGCTGCTCCTCCCTCCTCTCCAGGATCCATGAAAGGGTCTGCGTGCTGATTGTGCTTTTACAGCTGGTTTTGATTAAGTTGAAATAAAAAATCATGCTGAGTTATTGTGGAGGCAGTAGCTCACATCTCTTTTCCTTCAGTGCTCAGCTAGCTATTTACTGTTAATGTGATAAAAAAGTTTACAACACTATGCCTTGCTTGTATTTTGTTTTTTTAAGAGTTGAGATGATCTGCTTGGCAGGCGCCTTTATGCAAGTCTGCAGACAATATAGGATGTTCATCTATGTTCTCTCTCTACTATATTTTCTCAAAGTAAAGTGAAACAGTTGAGATAATGGAAAGTAATAAATGGTCATAATTAGTATAATAAGCTATAGAGATATATGATGACTGATTTTACTAAAAGACATCAATATTGCGCACTAACAATAGCTCAATACTTTTTATATATCAGGAGACAGGGATCTAGACTGTGAAACTCTGTGCCACAATATGCAGGCGTATTCTCCTCCGCCTTCCTTGTGGGGACTTGTTGAGCAGCATGTTTGCTCCAATGAAAGAGAGGAGCTTAAAGGCATGCTGGGAGTATCTTTGGTTGATCAAAGCCTTGAACTTCATGATGAGGTAATGTTTTCTGTTCTGAACATATATGTCACTGTAATTTTGTTGTTTGCTCAACAAACATATTAAAGTGCGTAGTATGATCACTGGAAATGTGTTATGTCATCTGCTGTATCATTGAGCATTCTAGATCTTTTATTATATACTCATTACTGAGCTGGTGATTCAGTCAGTCAACTTTTGTATATATGTGAAAAAACAAACAAACCCAAATTGTTTTTATATTTCACCTTAATCTTTAAAGTGCTAGTAATCAAAGAATTTGGATACTCAGTTTGCTTTGTCTAAGTTGGGACTTAAACAACATATTATGCAAGTACATTTGTAGCATCTATACTATACTACAGGAAATGTGGCCACATATGTTACATATAAACTCTATAAACCATTTCAGTAAAAATTCTAAACATCAGTGTTTTAAGACACTGCTCTAGTACAAAAAATATGTGACAAATGTTTCAGGACATATTGTTGATTATATAAATCAGCGAGCTATGTGGTCCACCTACTGTTTTACATACACAAAAACATTGAAAAGGTTTTCTCTTTTTGCAGAGCTGAAGTTACTATATTCATGCTGAAGTTTTGTGTTATTGTGTTTTTTTACAGCAAATGGTTCATCTGTTTTTGTTCTAAGGGACTATAATTTTTTATGTTTTCCATTGTTGAACAGGTTAATATGCTGCTGGACATTTGGCGTGAAATGAGAGATGAAGAAGAAAACAATGCAACTGCCCGAAGAGGTTTACCTGAGCCACCAAACCAACGAGAGAGGCTGATACAAGAGATCTGTTTCTTTGTCGATAGTGTGAAGGAAAAGGCAAAGAGGAAGGGCTTGTAAGTGAAGTACTTGGTTGTTGCATTTTGTTCTGCATAATCCTCATGGTCTGGAGGATGCAATATAACGTTCTGAGACTTTAGGAGTGTGTGAGCTGGTCTACATAATTAATAATAGTAGTATATATTAACTTTTGCGACTCATCTTCCTGGCCTGCCACCTCCTTTCCAAGTCAAGTGTAGACCTACACAGTATTGGAAGGCTTTCTTTTGCAATCTGTTGCACCGAACTCACCTTTTTACTTAACATGTGCATAATGTTGATGTTTACTTTGTGGACAGTGGTTCAGGATAGGCTCTAGGTAGCGAGTATCTTTTTTTCTTCTTTTTGCCGTTCTATTCACTGAGCTGAAAGGCTCAATCCTGGTGAGACAGAATGTTTGTTGAAACTTGCTGGGTGAGGTGAAAAAAAAAAGCAGATGTGAGGCTGACTTAATAGTCGAGAGAGTGTTTATTAGGGAAAAAAGCTTGCTAACAATTATTGTGACATTTGTCTCATGTCAGTATACTATTCTATTACTATAAAAATACTGATTATGTGTCTAACTTAAACATCATTTTTACCCTATACGTGTGAATGTGGGTTTGTTTGTGAGTGTAAGTGCATAGTATGTGTGTATGTGTATATATGTGTGTGAGAGAGTATGATATGTGCATATGCATATTAGTGTGTGTTTATGTGTGTGTGTGTTTGTAAGTGTGTGTGTGTGTGTGTTTGTATCTGTGCATGTGTGTGTATGTGTGATGAAACACTAAACCAAAGTGGCAATGTCTGGACAATAGAAATTAATTTTATTTTATTTTAAAAGTCAACTTTCACTTCTTGGGAAAAGGGTGGGGTGGCAGGGGATAATTAATGACTTGTGTCAGAGAATGTAATGTCTTAAATTCTTTTGCTTATTAGAAGTGAGTGAGCATACCAGGTGACCAGAAAAAAGGTTCATCCAAAAGAAAGCCGATCTGCTTAGAATAAAGGTAGGCCTACAAACATCGAAGCTTGCAGAAACATGGTACACCCATCCAGATTTATTATGTGTTAATAACAATGTAATATGACAGATAAAAACAAAGCTCCAGACACCCCCAATTTCGAGTAAAGCACATTCTGCTTGGTGGAGAGATATTGACAATCAGGCGTTGACACTGCTCGGGAGAGATCTCTTTTGTGCCCTCTGTGATGGTTTCTTTCAAGTTTTGGATTCTTCCGAACGTTTTCCCAGACAGTTTGTCCTTCAAACATATATATCCAATATTGAAAGTCCTGTGAACTCAGGTCTGGGTTGTTTCGAACTCTGTTGTGCTCAGTCGAAACTACTGTCCTGATACCAAAATGGTAACTGATTTATCGTGGAACAGCTCTGGCGTCATGAGGAGCAGCCCCATCTTGCTGAAAGATCTGGTTCTGTCACCCTTCATCCTGAAAAAATAGACCCAAACTTCTCCAGAACTTTGGTAGGATGACGAGGTATTGGTCAGAATTCCCCGAATCACAGGCCAACCTAACCTTTTCAAGAGTGAATTGTTTTTGCAGGCTGCCTACCGTGTGTTACTCAGGGCTTAAAATTCGTGTTATTATCTTCTACAGACCCAAACCTTTCAAAATTTGCAGAACATTTCAAAATGGATCTTTTGCTCGGGACAGATTGTTTGTTACAGATATCTATCCCGTATGCCCGAGTAAATAATGCTCATGGCGATTTGGGAGATTTTGTTTGCTGATACATCCTCACTGCAAAAGCCTGAAGTATAGCGGTGACATGCTTTATCGTCTTTCTATTGTGCAACAGCAATGAACTTTATGAAAACATAATTTGGATGTATGTCCAGACTTTCGATCAATTTTGATTCCAATTGGATCATAAACAAGAAAGTTATTAACATTTCTCTGAACAAACTTTTTTACTGGTCTGTTGGTGTGAGCATAATTTTATGTAATTGATTAAATGTTATACTGGGCTTCCTTTAATGTGAATAGATCATTAATTTATGTCTGAAATGTTGGTAATTTTTAGAATAAGGACCTTTCTCAATGGATCATATACATGTTGAATGTATATTGTGAATGCTGTTTGGTGCTCTATTTGTAGTGTAGGCCAGGGTGATGTCTCTGGGTTGCTCTGTTCCCACAGGGTTAACACTATTTTTACAGTTTTAGTCAGAAGTCGTCAGTCTTTGCTTGTGGGCATATATAGGATGTATAGAAGTAAAAGGTATGCACTTTTCTATCAAATCATCTGGAAAGCAAAAAAAAAAAAAGATTCAAAGTGGGGCCAAGTCATAAGGATTATTGTTCTGTTGGTCACAAACTTTATTTAATTTTGAAAAAAGATTTTATCAAGAAATTATGTGTAATGTGAAGAATGAAGGGGATTGATCTAAGTTGGAAAATAAACAAATGGGTATATATTTCCACAAAACAAACTTTTATGGAGAATTATGTTTTTGCTTTTGAAATGCAAAATAAAAACAGAATTAAATATGCATTTGACCATTGAAATAACTAATTTGTTGCTTATTTTACTCTCTTCTTTATAATGAAATTACTGAAGGTTCCAAATAGGTAATATTCTAACCATGGGAACATCTGTGCCTAACTTTGCTGTAGAAAATGCAAATGTTTAAAAGAGATATCATTTAACAATGTTTATGTGCTTTTTTTCTTCAGTGACCCTGATCATATTTTCAAGAAACACAATTCATCTGTATTGGATTATGCCAAGGAACAAAGTCGTAAGTGATGTTTTTTGTATTCGTGAGGGGTGCATATGAGTATTTATACAAAGCATGTCTTAGACTCAACCATTTAAAGACTGGCTTTTTTTAGTTGCTACTTATCAAATTGTTCAGTTTTTAAAGACAATTATCCTTTTTTATGTGATTGTAAAATCAAGATGAAAATAGCTGAAAATAGAGCAGTGTTTGCTTTTTTGTATTTATTTCAGTTTCTTTTCTATTCTTCTGCTTAATTCTTCAATGATCAGTTATGATATAAAGAGCGCAGAGCAAAATCGTTTAAGCAGTGCTAAGGGTTTCTCTCATTCAAAGGTCCCGGGATTGAATCCGGGTAGCGTTGGAAAAATTTTCTTCTCTAAAATTGTCTCCTTTCACCCTCTTTCCTGCTTTCTAGCAATGTTCTGTCGTCTCCACTTTCTGCCCCCTACCCTCACCTCCTTTGCCCCCTCCTCTGGGCTCCTGACTCTTTCTACAACCTTTCTACTGCTACTCCTTGGCAACTTCTTACAGCTGTCTTTTAACCACACCCCTGATCTTAAGGTAGGAAAGATCTACACCTAGCCTTCTCGGACAAGGGCGAAAAAGCTCGGAGGTCCTGCGTGCAAGTTGCACACGTTAAAGATCCCTTGGTGGTCTAAAATCGATAAGAGTAGGCTTCGGCCGCCACCCAGACAAAATTCAAAATTTCCTACCAACTGAAAATGTTTAGGCTTGTGTCCCATGCGCTCATATGGCCTTATGCAGTTGCGAGCGCTGTAAAACACTTACCAAGGAAAGAAAAAAGAAATAAATTAAGATTTTTAATGCTGAACATACAGAGAAGATTCTCTTCATCTTTTTTTCAAATTTGTCTTGCAATCACTTCTTTTTTTCTTATTAGGACCAGGCTCTTCAGCTGGACACTCATCACGTTCTTCAGATGGTAGAGAAACCCCCTTGATGGTTGTATCACCAGACAGGTGAGGTTATGAAAATGATTATTAATGGCCTTATTTTTTAGAGGAAATTAGGTCAGGGAGGAAGCAACTGTGTGTCATGTGATAGAATTGAGAGAAAAGGAAGCATCAGGTTACAGCAAACAAACTTTCCTTAATAGTCTTATTATCTTAGCAAGAATTAAAGCAACAGAATGTGAGCAGCCATATTTGTCAGTCTAACTTGCAGCATAACAAACAACTATTGTCAATATTTCTTCTTGATTCAGCTCCTAGAGGGAGATCGAGAAAAAGAGTCTCAAAATGTAATTGCCTGTATTGCTGTCTATATTTAGAACCATGTGCCTTGTATTAATGAAATATTGAAATATAGTTTGTTTAATAAGACAGTGCTGAAACAGTACATCTAACAGTGAACACATGAGGCAACTGTTGTTTTGCTTGCTTTTTTGAAAGTGTTTAAAAATTATTATTTTAAAAATCTTTAAACAAAATATTAGGCTTTTTAATATGTGGAAAAAGAGAAAAGAAATTTGAAGTGAGTAGAGATATTTTGAGCCCTGTTTGCTTTCTACCGACTGGTTTGTGGTCTAGACCTTTTCCTTTTCCATAGCAGGTGCTATTTTATTGAAAATTATTTCATCAGTTTAGAACAAGAAGTGACTGTGTCTATTTTGACTTAATGCAAAAAAAAAAGTAAACTTTGAGCATTCACATGATATTCCATCATGTTGGTAAATTTTATATCAAATAAGTTTGCATCTTAACTAAGATTCTTAGTTGTTCTGCCACAATTGCAATTTAGAAATGTCCATGTCTGTGCTGTGCATTTCCAGTGTACTCCTTGCCCTAAAAGTCTTTTTCTCCACAAAACTAAGAATTTGGTCACAGCCACCTTTAGCTCTCGATCGACTGTTCAAAATCACCTACATTTGTTACATATAACATGTTTGTAGATATAAGTGATAAATTCGCCAGCTGTTTCTCTTCTTTTAGAATATTTTGTTCTCAGCTTGTAGTAAAACTTGAAGGATTCAAATGATGAGTATTTGACATCTGTTGCATTCTTTTGTACAGGCTGAGTGCAGCTTATGAACTGGAAGATGGAATTGAGGCTGTAAACAAACAGCTCAACTACCTAGATTTTGACAGGGTTTGTGAAAATCTCAGGTGAGATAAATCAATATATATATATATAATATATATATATATATATATATATATATATATATAGTGGCTGTCTCAGAAAATTTAAAACAAACTCTTGTCCCTTATGTAATAGTAGTAATAGTAGATTGTTGATCAATTGATGTTGTTCGTGTAAGTTTTTTTTTTCTTTTTCTTTTTGGGGACTTGAACATGGCTGACAAGACCAATTTGTGAAGCATGAACTGGCGGATACTGGGGGCACGTGAAGGTAGTAAGCTGCTGGATTTTGCTGCTTGTGTGGTGATGAGACACTGAAAAATGAGTTGAGATTGTTCTGAGCTTTTAGCTATTTACGCGATGTCTTAAATTCTTTTGCTATTTATTTATATGATAGTCTACTTTTAGTTTTGTTTTAGTAGAGGTTTAACGGTGCTCGCAACTGCATAAGGTCATATGAGCGCCACAAGATTAGAGGTGTTACAAGAGAGTAACAAACATAAAAAAGAAGTGGGGAGATAAGGACGATAGATGTTTCATAGGAGAGAAGAAGCAAACCACACCAGAGCACCTGCCAACCACCCACAGTCTACTTTTACTTTTGATATCAAACCCAATGCAATGAAGGATCTGGAAACACAGCCACTCTCGCTCACCCACCAAAAACACAGCTTCAGTGTGTTTGCCATTCTTTTTTTTTTTTTTTTTTACAAAAGTAAAAATATAGACAGAATGGCAGTGAAAGTAAATCCGCCCACATTATTTCATGGCATTAAATCAAATTGTGAAAGCCCATGGGTTACTGGACAAAGGTCTACATAACCAACAGCAATAACTCTAGTGACCTTTTTTCCCTCTCTTTTGCCAAACAGCTGCAAATTACTTTTACGAACATAATATGTTCCGTTGAAAACTCCTCCTTCTGTTTTTCAGGAAGACACTTGAGGATGAAGTAAACCAGCTTCTCCGTGACATCCAGTTTCTTCAAGGTTGTCTCGACTGTCAGGCAGATGTACGAGACTGTATCACGCCCAGGAACACATCAAGGGAACCCACTCTCACAGGTGACTTTTTTTGTCAATGCTAATCCTTTCCGGCTTGACCTGGCCAACTCTGGCTAAAGCTTCAGCTAAAGAAAAAATGCAAAGATTGTGACATTAATGTTCAATCCGGCCAAAGCCGACCACTGAAAAGTTCCACTCTGGTGTTCAAACTGGCCAGAATTGGCCAGGAATGCACTTTGCTTCTCCTGGGGGGATTACTACAAAGGTATGTTGTTTGCTTTGATAAAAGTAGTCCACTGACTTTTAGATGTAGCCTTGTTTTCATTTATAGTGAGGAAAGTGTTTCAGGACTGCCATCTATTAGCTTTCATGAAGTGTAAAGAATATGAACAGTGGAAGGCTGTGAGTAGCATTAGATGCATAGGAAGTTGAACAAATCCACGGCCACTGTTGGTAAAGAATGTAAACAGGAAAAGGTTGACACAACTTGTTTAGTTTGTCTTTCTAGAACCTGAGATCTTGTATGTAGAATGTGAGAGCTTTATTTTCGTTACAAAAATCGCCTCCTCTCTGGAAGTTTTTCTGTATTAGATGAACTTAAAAATGAGGACTGATGCCAATATTCTTCGAGACAAAACTTTTCTCTCTCCCCATATCACTTCTGAAATTCTGTTTAATCCAACCACAGATATGTATGGGCATCATAATGAAATCAAGTGCCCTTCAAAAGAATGAAATTGAACAAATCAACATATTTCTGCCCTTTTGGCAATTTCTATAATTTTTTTTGGGTTTTTAGCTCCACACCTTTTATGTCCACTTAAAAACACATTCCTGCATGGACTTTACTGAAAAACATGTATGAAAGGCACAAAAAATGTACATTTACAGTTTCCAAGGACACCATAGCTTTGGAAGTCACCAAACTTTGGTTGCCATTTTCACGCTAACGTTACCTTTGACGCTTAGCGAACCCCACCCCTCTTCAGTTGCAAATATTTCAACTTTTATTCAAGATACACACGTAATTATTTTCATCAAAGGCAAGGAAAATGAGCAGGCTTTATGAGTATGCCAATAGCTTTATATCCACAGTGTCATGACACAAATTTTAAATGGTGATACCGATATGTGGACATTGAAAGTAGATCATAGTCCCAGAAGTCAGTTTTAAGTGTCATGGTCATGGATGTTTGAGATTTGTAACTCGAGAATAAATTTTCATCACTGTGGTCTAACATTATCCTCTCCCTAACCAAAACTAACTTTTTGATCCTTAGGACCTCACAGCTCAATGGAAATCTTTTTTTTCTTCAGAACTGCGAGAAGAAAGAAGCCAATTAGAAAAGGATCTTCTGTCATCTGATGTCATCGCTCCGACCCCGGCTGTTAATAAACCGCTGTTCAACAATACACACAGGTACTATAAGCTCTCCAGTCTGCATTTGTGAGGCATGCTGACAAAATGAGTTACTATTCTGATTTTAGCCCCACGGAAACAGGAGATACAGTAAAGTTCACAGGTGGAATTTGAACAATTTTTAAGTATGAAATGATAAAAGACATGCAGATGATTGAAAATCTACGAATTTTACCCCCATGTTTATTTCAGCCTTGGGTTTGTGACACTTATGTTTTCGTGGATTGCTAGAGGTAACTCATTTTGTCTGTACACCTCACATATATTCTGTATTTGACAATAGTTTAGAAATATCACAGTGATTAAGTGTCTTTTGGACATATTTTTCCCATTTTTATCCCTTACGTCAGCCAATCAGTCAGTTAAGGCATACACTTTCATTCATCTTTTAATCCTTTTTTCATTTGGCTGTCAATTCATGTATCTGTCTAAAATTATAATTCCATAAACGCCTCAGACTTTTAAATAATTGTGCTTTGATATTCTATCAATTTCTTCTTGATTGATGGTTGAGGTTAGCCAACAGTTTTTGGAGCAAAATGTTTATTTCATTTTGAAAGATTAAATTGCCTTTTAAAAAGATAAAGAGATGTTCCCTGTTCATGTACTTTAAAAAAAATCTTTGGGACAATTCTCTAATCTATAAATGAAATGTAACATCTAAGGAGCGCTTTTGATTTCCAGCTTCCCAGAGTAATGGACTATGTTTAAAAAAAAAGAAAAAATTGGCGTCAGTATGTGTAATATCAGCAGCAAGGTGACAAAAAAAGTGATGTGTCGCATTTTGACAATATAACACTTTGAGTGTCAAATCAGAGATTTGCTTAATCGATTTAAGTTTTGATAAATGGCTTTAGTCCTGCTGCTTTGGCTTCAAAGTTTTAGTTACAGTCTTTTGAAGTTGGACAGTCAGAACACAGTTTTGAGAAAATGAAGTTTTGCCTTATATTTTGAAACAACTGAGTGCGACAAGCAACCTATTTTGTCACGTTTCTACACTTATGTCATGTGTGTGGCATTATGGTGAAATCAAGTGCTCATCAAAATAATGAAAAGGAAGAAAGCAATATCTTTCCATCAATCGGGCTATTAAAAAACAACTTTTTTTTTTGCTCAACACCTTTGAATATACATTTGAAAACACATTTCTGTGTGATATTATCGTACTGAAAAATGTTGGTCAAAGGCACAAAAAATGTATGCAGTTTCCAAGGACACTCAAGCTTTGTAAGTCACCAAACTTTGGGGACCATTTTCTCGCTAATTTTACCTCTGACACCATGCAACCCCCCCACCCCTTTCAACTACAAATATCTCGACTTCTTTTCAAGATAGATTTGTATATTTTCAACGAAAGCAAGACAAATGAATAAGCTTTAAGATGATATCAATAACTTAATATGCTCAAAAATTGACTAGCGCCTGATTCAGCCATGTCATGACACACACATATTATATGTCAGGCATCAACTGTGCTTTGTCTTGTGTCTCATTGAGCACTGTCATCATTTCACTTGCTGTCCAAGAGTGTGTGAGTGATACAGGCCGAGCCGTCTTTCCATGTTGTGTTGTATATTACCCCCTCTCACAGAGTTCTTCCTGCCACCCCACCCAGCCCAACTTCTAAGGTGGCATTGTCATCTGCAACTCCAAGCCGCATTGCCCCCTTGAGAGCTGACCACAACATCGGTGCCCCTAATATCGGAACCAACATTCTGAAAATTTCGAGTTCAGGATTTGAGGCTGGTGATTCAGTGGGCCATCAGGTCAAACTTACTACGACAGACCATCATGGCCTGAGTCCTTCAGGCTTACGTTCTCTTGCGGAGAACTCAAATTCAGGCGCTGAGGAAGTAAACGTAGCCAATAGACCTGAAATCGGAGCACGGGCAACGAAGAGCGATGGAGATGTTGTTTCTCCTCACCCCTCCTCTTTATCTTTGCTGATGGAGAGTGGCAGAGGAGCGCCAAGTGGTAGTGCCAGTCTCCCTCTACCCACGCCGCCTTCTGTCAGTAAGCGAGGGGATGGAGTGACTTTGAACCCAGCTCGGCGTCGAACGGCCAGCCCTGGGCGTGTGCGAGTGGTAGATGTGACAAAGATTGTGGACTCTCGACTTGGTAAGAGCTGTGTGATAACTCCTCCTAATGGCCAGTCTGCGACAGTGGCTGCTGCTACAAACTCTGACCTCAGTGAACAGCCATTAGTGTCAGCCCACGATGGCACTGCTGCATTGCGACCCAGCTCTGCAAATCGCTTTAGGAAGATGGTGATGGGTTGTCGGGATGGAGAGTGAAGTTGTGTGAGCTTTTTTTGTGCGTAGGTAATTTCATGTACGGTATGTGAGTATAATATACCCGTGTACCGTACATGAGAACGCCTACTTATTGTGTGTGTGCTTGTGCATGCTAGTGAGAGTTTTGAGTATGTGTTTTGGCGTTTGTCTGTGTTTGTGTGAACTTGTGTAAATATATGGTAGCAGGTGTGTTCGTATGTATATAAGTGTATAAATGTATGAGTGCATGTGCTGTGTACATATGTGTGTATGTGCATGAGTGTGTATGTGTGTGTTTAAGAGTGTTTTGTGTGCTTCCAAAGATGTGAATGAGGGAGTGACCGACAAAGGAAAAAATGATAAAAATTAAGAAAAATATGATAATTCAAAAGGATTGTGTGAACTTTAACTTTAGAATAAATATTGCATATGAGTAAGAGGGGGATGGTGAAATAGACGGAGATAGCACACAACGGGTTATATGTCACTGGTGTAATTGTCAAAAATTGCAGTATCCATGGTGAAATGGTTAGGTTCTTTGCTATTGCATGAAGAAAATATGAGTACAATTCCTGTGTGAGGTAATTATTTTTATCAAGTATCTCCATTTGTCTGCTTGGATACTGCATCCCATTCGGCGAGGATGGCGTGACCCTGAGTGGCAGGGCGAGGCATCCCTCCTTATAAAGATGCAAATTGTGTCAAAGGGGCAGTAAAACATTTACAATCCATCAAGAGTCAAGTTTAATTTATTCACCATCCTTTTTAAAAAAGGAAATATGCGCTTAAAATTTTTTTTAAAGCAATACAGGTTTTATCCTGACTAGAAAGACATCCAAGGACTATATTCATAGATAGTGCTGATGACATTCCCCTGGTGTAAATCAGAACTACACGTGTCTATTTTTTTAGACCTGATTGATTAAAATTGCCTCATCCTCTTTTGTATCAAAATAGCGAGGCAAAGAAAATGATGAGGCCTCTACTATAGGCAATGCATGCAGGCCTTCAAATAAGATACAGTTGAAACTGTCTAACTTGGTCACCCATTGTTGAGGAGAAAAGTGGCCATCTTAGACTGGTGGCCTTCTCACACGGTGTCATTATAATGTAAAAAATAAACAAGGAAGGCGATAGGAGGTCGTTTTTGTACAGGAGATTGTCTTATACAAGTGGCCATTAGAGCAGGTTCAACCATATTTTGATTGATGAGCAGCTGTGTCATCAGTCACATTGAGTGACACAGTATAATGCCCGAATCAGGTGGTTTGAAAACAGAGTGTGCCAAATACATTTTGTGAATAAAAGCATGTGTTTTCAAACCCAGGATACTTTGTGATATTTTGTAATGCATAAACTTATGATTCGTTACATGATATTTTGTCCTTGTCTTTTATCCCTGCTGATACTTATGGAGTCACTGATGCACTGTTTGGACTGAGGACTGACCAGAACACAGGTGTCAAACTCAAGACCCATGTCGACCCAGCAAACAATTATATCTGGCCCGTGAGATAATTTTAGGCAGTCCATCCTGAGAATATCCATGACACCCATAACACAGAATCTTATACTTATTCCAAACGTAAACTACTTGCTACCTAGATGTCAACCATCTAGCTCTGACATATGCATGAGAATGAAAATTGATATGCCTTGATCTGTTATTATTTTAATAATTATTGTCTGTTTTAATTTGTTTATATAATTGTTTTAAAAATGTTTTGTTTTCCACTGCTGAATGAGTGTTTATCCAGTTAGGCCGGCAACCTAAAGGCACTTAAGTTTGGCCCCAAGTGATTGAATTTGACACCCGTGGAACAGAGTAGAGATAGAGACTAATTGCACTGCAAAGACAAGTACAATGTACTTAAGTGAATCGAATTCGTCGATTTACAGCGAACTTAAAGTGGATTTCTGAGGATAAAGATGACTGGGGTTTTCTTTGAATGTGGGTTTTTTAAGGTGCAGTCCTTTTGGGCAAATTTAAGTTTTTATATGTTTGCCTTGGTAAAGTTTCATTATCTTGAATGTTTTGAGCCAAGGTTGGAAATGTAGATAAACCACTGATGTGAGTCCCATGCGATGAATGGCTCATGTAGATCAACACCTGGAGTGTTTCTTGGGCAATGACCCCATTCACATAGTTAGATCCACGCTTACAGTGTCAGCAGTGTTAGTGTGGGCTGTATTTTCCTTTTACCTTGATGCTACTGCTGTGCTTCACATTAATCACATTGGCACCCTTTACCATTTCATAAGAGGTGCCAGAAGAGGCTGTGACCCCCATCATCACTTGGTCATAGGGTACCTTGCATTTTGATATGTGCTCAACCTTAACCATTAATAATTCATTTATAGAAGTACCTGCCATCCATGTCAAGGTGCTGTTTGGTCTCTTTCGTTTCTATTTATCAATTTTTTTTTTTCCATTTCATAGTTTATTCTTCCAGTATCTGTGGTTTTTAAACCTGGATTTTGCCTTCACTTCTTTTACCACATACTATAATTTATATCAAGCCCCTCCCTCCCTACACCATGAACGATTATCAGTATTATTGTCCCCACCTGCAAAATGCCATTACTATCAATACTACAAATTACTGTAACATCTTATGGCTTCTAAAGCAGGTGGGAAATGCATATTTTATGCTTGGTTGAGAGTCGGAGGTGACTGTAACAAATTTCTTTTTTTGAAGAAAATGATTAATTATGTATGTTAAAGTTCAAATTGGAAACACGAACAGTGACACATTGGGAATGGTAATTGTAGCAAAACTACTAAGCGGATTTATTTGACATTTGCTGACATGATGGATCATCATTTAAATACCTCAGTTTTGTCATTTCTGATATTCTTGCCAAAAGAGGCAAAATCGCTTCTGGCTCTCAGCCAATGATTACTTATTTTCTTTAATAAAAGCAATACCTTGTTAAACCATAATGACGATGCATAGTACAAATGAGTCTGCTTTAACAGAACACAGTTAATCTGAAAAGAGCGGTAAACACAAAGAAAATAGAGTCTCCACTTCTTTTTCTTTTATTTTAGCAACTTTCCTATACCAAAACCACGGCTGTGTATATTGTAGAAAATCCTGTAGTGCAGTAGGTTTCGGTTTAGGAGGACTCAACTGTATTTTGATACATGCGGAGTGGTTTTTAAGTTTGCTTGGAACCTGTAATTTAAGATGCTTTGGTGAGTCTAAGGGTCTGTCCAAAGATTGTGTGTTTGTGTCTTGATCTTTTCATATATTTCATCTAGTCCTCATTTTCAACATACATGTACTTGTGAAATTATGGGGGAAAATGATTGTGCCAAATTGTCTTGCTTTCTTACTGAGTTTATTTACAGCACCAGGTTTTATCAGGTTCTTAACAATGGTTTGTACTTCCCCTCATTATTAAGTACCATTTCAGTAGAATTTAACTTCATCTTTGCCTTGTCCTAGACAAACTCCGCTTGATAGGGTGATGTTAACGGTGGAGTCAATGAAAAGGTTTGCCCAAAGCTTAGGTGTTGCCTTCATAAATTGCTTGACAGGATGATATAGTTTGGCAGGCAGTGAAGACATTTACCCAGTGGGTAAGTGTTGCTTTCATAAATGTTGCAAACAAGGGATTTTTTCCCTCTGTGGTTTTAAGCTGCTCTCAAGAGAATATACTGGAATGTTTATCTTTAAATTTAAAGCAAGTTATTTTTTATAGATTTTCTGTCTTTGACCGCAATCTGAATGAAGAAGCCATTATACTTTTAAAAAATTAAACTGAAAGTATTGATTGTAAACTAAAAAACAGGGTAAAACTGGGGGGCATTTTACTTAAGTGTTTACTTCAGTAATATTTTGTGCTGTATATACTTATTCCAAGAGTTATTGATATTTCCTGAATAATTTACTGTAGGAAAATTTTGAAACTCACATATATTTAAAATATAAGTGCATTGTTTGAAAATGCTTCATCATCAATTATCAAAGCTCTAAACTTTTCTCATTTTTAGCTTGCAGCGAATAATTTTTCTCAGTTTTCATCCTCACTGTTTCATCTTGTGCCATCTTTAATCTCTCTTAGTTTCATTGCTCATTTGAGTTATCTGATTTGACAACTTTATATTTGAATTGCTTTCATTTGCATAAACTGCTATTCCTGGTAACTGGTCCGCTTGATCAGGAACGCATTTTGCTTTGTGATCCTGCAATATGAAAGGTTATCAAGTGAGCATTTTCAGATCCAGCATCTTCTTGTTTTGTGTCTATTTTGTCAGTCTATAATAATATGTAGATCTATGCTTAATTGATTCTTATAGAGCGGAGTGAGGATTTTCGTTGAAGTGGTCAAGTATAATGTATGTGGATATTACACACTTGTACATTATCTGTTTTCAGGCTGATTTTTATTTTTTGAATTGCAAATTTAGAGCACTACTAACTTGCTGTTTAACTGCTTCAGACTTTTGTTTTACTTGAACAAATAAAATCTATCAGTGAATAATACACCTGTGCCTTTGGCATGAAATGCAATAAAAGATAGGAGAGGAAAAATATGAAGTAAAATGAACAGAATATATATAAATAACTTTTATATATAGCCTACGTTTACTGTGAGTTATGATGAGGAATGGGGAAAATGGCATTGTGTGTTTGGATGCGACCAGATTGGTTACTTTGGTGTGAGTTGTAACTATTTGCATATGAACATGTGCATAAGAGTGTTTGCAGAATGGAAATGGTGGAGGATGTTATACTTTTAGTTTTCTTTTAGAGAGATTGAGATTGGAGGTAAATCTTTATTATTTGTAAAAGAAACCCAAAAGAAATTGGAGTGATGACACTGTAAAATTAATAATTTTTGGTCTGGATAGGCCTGTGTAAACTATGTTACAAGCAATTAAAGAACTTCTACAAAGCCATGTTACTGGGTAGCTTCCCTTGTAGGCCTACTTGTATACTCCTCCTGTGATAAACCGTGGCAACAACAAGCTGTGGAGTCTTTCTAGTCGGAAGGGAGCAAAAATAGTACATGTATTCCGAAGTTTTACTGAAGATTCTCTAGTTAGAGAATCTTTGGTTTTACTCTGTACGATATTATAATTGCATTGCGATTTCTGACACACTCACATTTGTGAGGCAGCATGGTGGAATCAGGCTCTCGTCAAAATAATCAAACTGAAGAAACTTGCATTTTTCTGCAGGTTTGTTTATTTTTATCTTTTTTTTTTTTTAGCTCAACACCTTTCATGCCCATTAAATAACTCATTTCTGTGTGGATTTTTCTTAAAAACGTTGATTAAAGGCACAAAAAATGTAAATTTTCAGTTACCACAGACTCTTAAGCTAAGGAAATAACTAATCTTTGGTGGCCAGTTTCTCACAAATTTTACCTCTGAAAACAGGTGACCCCACATCCTTCATTGGCAAATATCTCGACTTGTATTCAAGATAGAAATGGATATTTTTTTCTTTGAAATAAAGACAAGTGAACAAGCTTTAAGATGACACCAATAACTCTACATGCCCCAAAATTGACGAGAGCCTGATTCCACCACGCTGCCTCTCATTTGTATATGTCATGTATCTGAGATTGCATATCTTTGTGTTCTAAATGCTTGGTCGTACATGTACATGACATGTATTGCTGTGTTTAGTTGTAAATAGTCTAGTATTGCCGTTGAAGTTTTGGACTGATTGAATAAAATTTTATTTATTTTGTTTCGTAATACATTTTAATGTTGACAGTATCTCTTATTTTGTACCAACGGTTCATTTCTGATCTTACTTTATACCTTTTCTCTCACATTTAATTTGTCTTTTATAGTGTGCTGTCTGTATTGTGTTTAGAGTTTCTTTGGTTATCTGGTATGGTCTGACCTTTCTACATCTTAATTTACTTTGTTTTCTCTATTTTCCTATCGTCCTGATTTGCTTCCTGTCAAAATATGGGCGTTGTCGTGTCGGCAAGCACTTTATAAGCAACACGGAGGGATTTTCGTGGTCTAGAGGTTAGGGTGTCACCTCTAATTCAATTGGTCTCGGAATCGAAATCTGACAGCGACGGAAAATTTTCTTCTCTAAAATTTTCCCTTTTCACCTCCTTTCCTATTCTCTAACCATGTTCTGTCGTCTGCTTTCGTTTCCACTTTCTGCCCACCCCACTCCCTTTGCCCAATCCTTTGGGCTCCTGACTCTTTCTGCTGCCTTTCTACTGAAGCTGATACTCCTTGGCACCTTCTTACTGCTGTCTTTCAGCCATACCCCTGATCTTAGGGTAGGTGAGATCTAACTTAGTTACACCTAGCCTTCTCGGAAAAGGGCGACAAACCTCGGAGGCCCCGTGTGCAAGTTGCGCACGTAAAAGATCCCTTGGTGGTCCAAAATCAATAAGAGTAAGTAATTCTCAATTAATTCCAACCAAACTGAAAATGTTCAATCTGTCCCGCGCACTCATATGACTTTAGTTGCGAGCACCGTAGAACACTTATCCCCCTAAAAAAAAGAAAGAAAAAAAAGCGGCATGACTTTATTTTGTCTTCTTCTTTTGTTGTGTTACGATCAGGGGTTGGCCTTGAGTACGATTCATCTGTTGCTGGAGGTGGGGGAGATTGAGGGGTTGGGAAGTGAATATTGTGGTTTTTATTTG